CACTTCATACACAATCCCTTCTTTTTCACATAAGGTATCAAAGTCTTTCGACACATACTCTTCACCACCATCAATTCTCAAAACTTTTAGCTTTCGACCACTTTGTCTTTCGACCATATATTTAAACTTGGCAAATACCTCGATCACTTAGCTTTTTCTTCTTGATCAGGTAAGTCCACCTCATTTGGAATGTCGATTTTTGGCAACCCTGAAACCATATTTCTTCTTTTCAAATCTCTGATATCTTTGAAGTTGAGATGGCCTAGTCGATAGTGCCATATCCATTCGTCCCTGCTAGCTGCAGTCGAAAGAAACTTGTGCTCTATCACACTTAGTTCGATCTTGAAGGTTCGATTATGATACATAGGATCCTTCAAGATTAATCTTCCATTTGCATCAACAACTCTCATCATCTTGTCTCTGATCAACACTTTGTAGTTCTTTCCGACCAACTTCCCTATACTGAGCAAATTGCTCTTCATGTCTGATATGTATAACACATTGGAAATTACTGACCTCTTGCCATCTTTTCTCATAATCATTACATCACTAATACCTTCAGCTTCTAGGGTATCGTCATTTGCGAATTTCACCATGTTATTCACCGAGGGTTTTATGTTGATAAACCAATCTTTCCTTCCAGTTATGAGTGACGAGCATCCTGAATCTAAGTACCATTGGTCCTTGAATCTATCTTCATCTTTTGTTGTGACCATCATAACCATCTCTTTTTCTTCATGTTTTGAAAACTTGGCATCACTTTCTTGATTATTTCCTTTTCTGTACAATTACTAAAATAGTGACCATACTTCTGACAATTGTAACACTGAATGCGACTCTTGTCAGGATTTCGACCACCACCTTTTCCTCTACCTCCAGCACCACCTATTTGGTTGCCTTGGTAATTGCGTCTTCATTGATTCAATACAATTGCTTCCTGTTGGTTTCCTCTGTCAGTCGAATTGTTTTAGCCACCTCTACCTTTGTTGAACCAATTTCCTTTGCCTTTACTTTCTTTTGGTGATTGTGCCTACAAAGCCACATCACTCTTTGAATTAACTACATCTCTTTCATCCATTCGTTGTTCATGAGATTCAAGGTCCCTTGAAGCTCTTCTTTTGTTAACTTCGACAAATCCTTCGACTCTTCTATGGCTACCACCACGTGGTCGAGCTTAGGAGATAAAGACCTCAAGATATTTGAAACAACAACTCTTGTTGTTAACGCTTCTTCATATACCTTAATTTGGATCACTAGTTCCGTAACCTTAGTGAAGAAATCATATATGCTCTCGCTATCTTTCATCTGAAGAAATTTATACGTTCTTTTGTGAGTTTGTAACCTCACCTCTTTCACCTTTTCTGCATCTCCAAAAGACTTCTCAAGAATTTCCCAAGCTTCTTTTGCAGATTCTGAATAACTCACTTTTTCGAAATTTTCTGAACTTAGACATTGATGAACTATAAAGAGTGTTTTATACCTCTTCTTCTTCTTCTTCTTCGATTCTATGTGTTATTTCTTTTCTTCTTCTGAAGTGTTTTCTCCAAGCGCTTTTAATCCATCCTTTACAAGATCCCAAAGACATTGACACTTGAATATAACCTTCATCTGTTTGCACCAATTCTCATAGTTATCTACTTTCAAAATTGGAAGACTTGCTGAATAATTCCCATTCCCATAATTCACCGCCATCGTGATTTCTTCTTCTTTTTCCCTTGATCGCTCAACCAGGCTCCGATACCAGATGTTAGAAATCCACTACCTCTATGATGAATTTCTATCAATCTTGATAAACAAGATTGTTATCACTCACACAATAGCGATGAAAAGAAAATAAATTTAAAGAAGAAAAGAATTAGGGTTTCTGCAGAGTAATTCTTTGTCCACAAACTGTAGAAAAACTTTTATTCACTTGCAACTGCAAATGAATTGATTACAAAAATAGGGGTTACTCCTTCTATTTATAATTAAGCTTGCTTTCTCCCTAAGCCAAAAAATCCAAAATTATAAAAGCAAAAAATACCTATTTTAGACCTAAATCAAATCTAAATCAAATCTGTGTGTAGAAACCTGCTTATAACACTTCGAAACACCTTGTGTTCGAGCAACAACCTGCTTCGACACAAGAAATTATACATTTAACACAATTTTTACTGATTTAATAACTTACCCAACCTAAAAGTCAGACCATACCTATGACCCATTTGATGTTCAATTTGACTTGCCAATCCGATTTGATTTTTAAAATAATGAATGATTGCAAAATTCCAAATATCCATATAATACACATTTTACATCATTATTTTCTACTATTACTCCTCTCACTTGTAGTTCGACTCGAGTTGATATTCATCCCAACATGATTTTTCATCTAAACATTTGAATTTTTGATATTCGACCCAATATTTTACATCATTATGAAAAACTAATTAAAATAGTTTTAAACTTTAGTTTCTTTTTAAAATTTGAATATGTAAACAAAATTTTCATTTGATATATATTTTTTTAAAATTTTAAGTATTTTTTAACAAAGGATTCTTAAATTTGATTTTGTTACTAGCATAATGAAGGTTATAATTAGGGGTAGAAATATGCTAGGTCGAATTAGGCTTTGTTAAATCTGAGTCTGAATTGCTAAAAATTTTAAAATCTAAATTTGGCTTGTGACCTATGAAATACTTGTTTTTAGGTCTGAGTCTGACCCTTTCGAAAGTCTGATTGACTTATTAGATACGTAAAAGCCTATTTTATTTGAATATTTTCAAATAAGCAATTCAATTAACGTTAAAATATACTAACAAATTAAAAGATTAATTAGACTAGATGTTTATTTGTATCGACTTATTCAAATTTACCTATTAACATATATTTTGTGATACTATTTATTTGAGAGAACTTATGGAAATAACTTATGATATTGTTCATAAGATTTCTTCGGCATATTTTCATAAGTACTTTTAAACATTTAAACTTTATTTTTGTATTTTATTTTTAAATACAAACACTGTATACTAATAAAATTATTCATATTTATTTAAATAGGTCAACATGATAGATTTATAAGACTTTTTTTACGGTCGGTAGTCTAATTTTTTTAGTTAAATAGAATTATAAAAAAATTTGTGCTTTTTTTATTTTTAAAAAAATCTAACCTAATCAATATATCCCTTTTATTGGCCTCGCATATTCCACCTTAATTGTAACTCAAAATATAAAAGCAGTAATATCCGATTGAGACCAAACTTAAAAGAACCCAATCATATTTAGGGCCAAGTAACCCCTTAATTATATGGTAAATGTGTTTATCACGTTTCTTATTTTTCTTACATCGAGGACTAAAATCGTTAACGATTACCATTTGTATTCTCTCTATTCCTTTTTAATTATCATTTTTGTGAAAATTTTATATTTGTTTTTATTATTACTTTCAAATTTCAAAATAGTGTTAGTGATAATTTTGTTAAAATTATCCCTAATCATTTATTATAAAAAAAGTTTAAAAAAATTAAAAATTTAAGAGTATTATAAATAAAAGAAAAAATATTATTTAAAAAATAATAAAAAATATTAACTTTATTAATATGTGTAAAAAGTAAAAAAAATTAATTAAAAAACATCAGAGGAATAATAAATTTGGTATTAACTAGAAGGCAATTTATGTAATATTCTTCAAATCAGGTGAACATGTTTGAGTACTACCTACAGTGCAGAGTTTGGACAGTTTTAATGTTTGTCGTGAAAAAAACATGTGATGTTTCATATCACCACATTGACATTGTGTAATAGTTATATTCATTTTTTTGATAGTAAATATTTACATTTGTTTTAAGGTATAAATTTAAAAATTCAATATAAAAATAATTTTCATAAGATTGTATATATGTTTAAAAGAAATTCAAAATTATTTTTTAATATAATTTTCATTATTTATAAATTTTTAGCATATGCTTAAACTTAAAACATAAATTCGTAAAAATAATTTAACTATATTTTTATTATTTTTATGATTCTAACTTTTATTAATATGATTTTATTTTATTTCATCTAACAATTTCAATAACTATTAATAGTAAAAATGATTTAACAAATACTTCTTTTATAATTAAAGTTAGTATTATAATTAGTTATTTTAAAATATTTAATTAATTTATTTTTTTGAACAAATGAAATAATTCAATTAATATGTATTAATTAAATTAAATGACTATAAAACATTGATTCAATTTTATTTTAAATTAAATATTTTTTACATGTAATTAGAGAAATTAATTTCTATCGAATAAGATTATAATAGATGATCTCATGAAAATTTAAGATTGATACATATTTAAAATTAAAGTCGCATCTATATTTTTAATTAAAATGAAAAATATCTTTTATCATCTTATCGAAGTGAATTTTTTATAATCATTCAAGATTCGATCTTTATCAACTGTATTTATTAAAATTTATATTAAATAAATTGATTATAAAATAAATCAATTACTTATTTTGGAAAAATATTTTAAAAATAAACAAAATTCAAATAAAAATTCCAAAACGGATAAAGTAATTTAACTAAAAACCGATAAACAATCACATAGAGTTTACCAAAAGAAGACAAATTATAAAACGTTCACAATTTTACCAAATTTCCCCCAGATCTTCGTAGAAACAACAAAAATAATTGAAAACGATAATAAAAAAGAAAAAGAAAAAAGAAAAAAAAGAAATAAAAAAACAAAAAATCATGATTACTCTAATATTGTACATGTTGTCACGTCTCCTTGTTTCTTTTATAGCCACAAACGTAGGAGGACACATGCGCGCATGTTAGCACTCGTTATCTCTCTTGCACTAAACTACGCATCTTCGGCTACTGAAGGCTCTACTTTCTCACTTGCTTCTTCCTCTAGAAGAAAGTTGAAACCTTCTCTGCCACCAAACTCTCTCTCTCTCTCTCTCTCTCTCTCTCTCTCTCTCTCTCTCTCTCTCTCTCTCTCTCTCTCTCTCTCTCAGTTATGGCGTATCTGAGACCTACCCTCTCTCAAATTTCCCTTTCCCAATCCAATTTTCCCAGAAATTCTACATGGAATAATCCACAACACTATTTTTTCCACAAAAGGATGCAAAATTTCAATTCTTTCAGGGTCTGCTCTAGTTCTAAAGATACAAAAAACCAAAACAATGGCAAGTTTTTTTGTTTTTTGTTTTGTTTTTGTTTTCTACTTGTTTCATCTAGTGAGAATAATAACTGTTTCTTTAGAATAGTAGCGGTTTTTCTAAAATATTGTTCATCAGAAATAATTAAGAAGTTTAACAAAAAATTCTATATTCTTGTATGTATACAACAAACAATTGCTATTTATTTTTTATGCATCAATATTGGTCTTAATTGGTACTTCAATATAATACTCATGAGATAGAGCTTGATGAGTTCATATATTATTTGGATGGTATCATCTCAAGAGAAAAATTGTATGTTACTGTGTTTTGGTAAGATAGGTAGATATATTAGGGAAGTAGATTAGATTTGAAGTAGTACATGTGTTATGTATTAGTATTGTGTCATTGACACCTGATACACGGAGTCTTCTCAAGTTTTTGAAGGTCCTGTATAGATTGGTCGCAATTTAGAGACCCTATTTAACTATGACAAACATTTTATGATGGTCTATTTAACCACGGTTTAATTGTGATAAAGTTTGGGCCCTGTGTGGTAGTCTGTCTTACAAGCCCCTAAAGGCGGCCCTTTTGATACACCTTGGACAAAAATGTTAGTGCTTCATCTAAGTGATCAAATAGAATATGAAATGACTAACTATGCTATATTGTATTGATTTTCAGGAGAAGAGCCACCAGAGTCATTATTTATGAAGGAATTGAAGAGGAGAGGTATGAATCCTACATCATTGCTTGAGGATTACAAGCAACCCAACTATGGACTTGATGAAGAGGCTTTCGTGAATGAAGAAGATAAAAGTTTCCCAAAGAGAAAAGCGGTGTCAACCGATGTTGAGAGGGGTCTTGATAATCAAAGGGAGCGGTCTATGGCGCTGAACAGCGAAGGTCTTGAGGTTGATTCTTTGTTGACTTTCCTTCAATAATATATCAAAAATCAGTTATTTGGTTTCAAAGGTTTTGTTGCAACTATTTTGTTTTCATTAGTCTTTCATGTGTTGCATTGTCTGTAATGCTGCTCTAAGGTTGTTTTGAAGGCTAGAAAAAAATACTAACACTTTGAGACACATCATCTTGATCTGATGTTTGGAACTTTAAGGTTCCAATGGTTTCTGTAACGAACTTTAAGATTCCGAACCGACCTTGCGACCGACTAATCCAAAGGGACAAATTCTACCGTCCACATGTGAGGACCCCTTTTAAAGTCAGAGCAAAGCTCTGTATGGACTAGCCCAACACACAAATTGTTTTACCTAGCTGGATTCAAACCTAAGACCTCGAGAGTAGCACACTCTCAAGACTCAAGCCTTCGTTGGAAGGCCAACTTCCTGGCGTTTCTGTAAGTAACTAGTTAGAGATTTAAATAACTTTCAAAAACAAAGTTTATATGCCATCAGTTTTCTAATAAAGAATTGTACTCTCATAATAGACAGATAAATATGATTTCATAAGTTCAATTCTAATTAACATTATTTCTAGTCCCTACATAAATATCCTTGCTTAGAGAATGATTTGAAATGTTTTCTATACTTTCTAAATAAATTATGCACCCTATCTGTTGTGTAGTAAATAATTCTTCTTCATGACTTGAGAGAGTAGTCTGCTCTTGAAATTTAGAAGTTTTCTATTCTCAATTATCATCATAGAAATACAGTTTCCATGCTTCTTATGATCCATTCAGTAATAATGTCTTGGAACTAAATTTCGTGAAGTGTGAACATGTGCATTGGTTGTTTGGAGAAAACAATCAGATGCCACTTTGGTCTGTTGTAGTCTATGAAGCACAGACACAAATACGGACACCGGACACTGACACTTCAACAATGGTAATAATTTAAAGAAATGAATAAATAAATTGAAGGTAATCACTAGTGTTGATGTCATGTCAGTGTCTAACGCTGACACATACTCGTCTTTTTGTAGAGGTGTCGGGGCTATAGAGGTTGTAGTAATACTAACATAGATGATGCACTGAGAAATTACTTCAGGAACAGAGTCAAGCCTTTACCTTATAGTTCTTGCCTGAACCTAACTGCCAAAAACTGTTCCTATTCTGATTTATTGATTTATCTTCCACCGATGCATGTGCTTTCGGAGGTGGTTTACTTGTTAGACTCTTTATCAACTGTCATCCGCATTCACCAGCTCTTAAGTGTCGCTGAATCATAACTGATTGTGTAATTTTTGTAATTAAGATTTAATGCTAACATCTTTTTTGAATGACATTCATTAGAAATCACTCATCTATTTATACATTTCAGGGCTTGGTGCCTCGAGCTAAGCTTCTATTGACACTCGGTGGAACGTTCTTCTTAGCATTTGGGCCGTTGATCCTCATAACTGTGGCATTTTTTTCTGCTCTTTACTTCGTAAGATCTTTTGCTTTCACCTAATGTGTTGTGCAGTGTTTCTTAATCTTTCCTATATCTTACCATCTATCCAATGTTTTATGAACTCTCAACATGAAACATGTTTTTCGCGTTCAACATTGATGCATTGAGTATGTTTTGTTGCAGTATTTTGGACCGAGTTTTGTTCACGACGGAAGCAAGATGTCACTATCAACTCCGCAATATGTGGACCCTTACGCACTCTTAGAAGATGAAAGAATATCTCAGATCGCGCCTCGGCTAAATTAAAGGCAACATTATTATTACAAGTACTTTACTATTAGGAACTTAGTAGTCACATATATTGAATTTCAGTTTACTTGGCTTTGTTGGTTTAGTTCCTTTGTAAAATATCATCCAGGGTGAACTTGTTGTCTATTTTGCAGTCATCATTGACACAATTCTTTACATGTGTCTTCTGCATTTTGCATATATGTTGTGTATAGTTTATATAAATCTAAATGAAAGCCTTATTAGAAGTAGCATTACTCTTCATTTTTTTTTCAGTTAGAATATAAATTTGTTTGAATTGCTACTGAGTTAAATGAGTTTGAATGAGATTTTAAAAGTTAATTCATGATTTGAAGTTGCCTAATCACATAATTATTTTTTAAAAAGAATTAATTAGATGTGACATTTCTTAATCATCAATTTGTGAAGATATAATTGAAGAATGTTGGGTTTTAAATGTGAAGTGTTAAAGTCACACATTGGTTAAAAATGTTAGGTGGATATGTAGCATCAATGTCGCATGTAACTTTAAATGTTTGCCTATTGACACTTGTGAATTTCACTCTCCATACTTCCTAAAAAAATATAATAATAGTCATAAGAAAAATAGGTTAGAACTGTGACTTTCTTTCTTTTAAAAATAATCTGTTTAAAAACGCATTCCAAAATAGATTTGGAATTAAAAATTGTTAGCCAATGAACTTTCTGAAATATGTAGTTGTATGTGATTGATTTTAGTGAGCACATTTAAGAAGATGAATTCACTGATATAGTAAAGGTGTGTTTAGATATTTTGAAGAAAACATTAAATTTGTGAACACGTAGTTCTAAATGCGTTTTCTTAAGGTTGCTGAAGTGTCTTTCTATAAATATATGAATTTGTGTTCTGTTGTTTGATGTATATAAGACAACTATTGTGCTCATTCAAAGACAAGATTTAGTGGGGTTCTCAAATGATTTTGTCACTGTATAAATGAATTTGTTGAAGTTATAAACTAAAAGTTTGTAATGGTATGCTATAATAGATAGCTATAACTGGTTGATACAATTTATACAATTTACTTGTATTATAGTATTGCTTAGTAGTAGTTAGTTTCCTATTTAATAGTGGTTATACATCTCTAGTTTCAAGGAAGAGCACTTTTAATATTTGGAGTTCGGTTCTATTCTGTTAGACGATAACAACAATATCTAGAGGGGTGAATAGATATCTCTTTAAAAAAGTATTCAAATAAAATTTGATTTTGAAAAAGTTTTATCAAAGTACAACGTGAAAGCTTTTTTAAATTGCCGTCTATACGAATGTTATCGGAAAGCTCAGATATATAAATCGTAAATCAAAATTGATATGGAATAAGAACGATAATATGAATTAATAATCTTGAATCACTTTGCAATTTATTTACTGTTTAATCAATTTCACTTAGTGAGGCTATTTCCAATGGTAATATTAAAAGAGCTAGTTAAGTCAATTTATCAAACACTTGGTGTGCAAGTGAATTTTCAGAATTTTCCTTTAATTGTGTTGATACACAAAACCATTTATAATCAAAAGTGATTATAAGCTATATAAACACTTAAATTAAAAATCAAAGTTGATTAGGAAAATTCTTACAATCTAAATGATAACGCAATGTTATTTGATAAATTGAACAATGAATATCAAAGCAAGTAAAAACAAAAATAAAAGCGACACGATGAATTTGTCTTCACAGTTTCCCACTGTCGTCCTCTCGTATGGGTACGTCTGTGTCTAATTCCAATGGAATTAAGATAATTTTTACTATGCAAAAATGTCAATACAAGAGAAGTGTTTAAGAGTAACTCCACAAATTCTAAGCTTGTTGTTGATTCAACCCCCTCTTTGTCCTTGATCTTGAGAGAGACTAAGAATACAATAGATGAGAAATGATTATCTGGAGCTTGCTATTCCTTTGCGTTATTTATCTTCAAAATTTTCACGCACCATCAATCTTAAACTATTGCAATACAAGACTTCGATTTTATTCGGTACTCCAAGTTACTTCCTTGCAAAGATTTCCAACACTCTAAGGTTTCTTGAAAAGATTGCAAGCACTCCAAGGTTGTTCACTTTACCATAATTACCTCTCGAACGTCTTGCACGAAAACTCCCAAATCAACTAATAATCTTGGAGGACAAACCCGCAGTTTTTTCTGGATAAAAACTCATACAAAATTTTACCCAATACACAATTGAACACTAGCAATCATCGTCTAGATGACACTCCAACAAAATATCGTTACAATATAATATTAGTGTGTATGCATAGATTGAGGGTTGTAGATGAAGAGAGAAATAAGTTAATTCTATGGTTTTCAACAAGTTAGAATGATGCATGAAAGAGTATTTATAGTTTTAGAATTTTTAGGACAAAGAGGGATAAATTCAGAATAAAAGAATTTAAACAATTGATCAACTAAAATAGTATGTGTCGATCTAAGAGTCATATGTGTGGACACATACGTGATTTTTGGACACTATGTATCGACCAGAAAGTTACAGAAGCTACAGACTTTAAAACAATAGTAAATGCGTCGACTTGAAGGATGGATGTGCCGACACATAAAATAAGAATTTATGCATTTTCAGAAATGCTTCAGTATGTGCCGATCTAAAATGATGCATGTGTCGACCTGAGAATTACAGAAGCTACGAGCTTTAAAAATGCATTATACGTGTCAATCAGAAATATGCATCTGTCGACACACGCAATACAAAAATATGCAAAAAATTATTTTAATGACTTGGATCAATTTTGAAACATTTTCTAATGATTCCTAAGACCTGTAATACAAAGGAGTGCCACAAGACATAAGGATACTATCCAATACTCAGAAGTGCAAGCTTTTCCCAATTTTGACATCATTCAAAATATTTGACGACAAAGTTTGTACTCACACACACTCTTGTATCGATAAATAGCCATCGCTTTGGCAATTACAATAAATGAACAATATTCCCTTTTATGGTATCATAACAAATTAGCTTAAAATCTTTTTTTCTTCTCGATCCTTCATTCATGGCACCACAAGATTATGATGCTGAAACTTTCCAAGAGACACCCACTATGTCATCACCGGCTGACAAGTTAATTGTTTTGAATGCTAATTCTCAACTCTACATCAAGCTTGATGGAGATAATTATCCATCTTGGAGAATTTAGTTCATGGATTTCTTTATAGGCTATGATCTCATGGGATATGTTGATGGAAGTAAACAATGTCCATCAAAAGTATTGTATAACAATACTGTGACTGTTAATATGGGCTTTACGCATTAGGTTAGACAATATCAACTCATTCTACATAGCATCACTTCCTTTGTGGTTGCAACAGTGGTCACACACTCAAGAATTTTCAAAACTTTCAATCAAGCATGGGAGATTTTGAAAACCATGTATGATGGTCGCTCTCGCGTGCGTATAATGACACTCAAACAAAAAATTTCCAATTTCACAAAATGAAATCAATCCATGGCTAAATACTTTCAAGGAATTAAAGCCATCTTAGATGAATTATCAATCATAGATCACCCCTTGATGAAATTGATCTTGTGATTTACACCCTTAACGACTTGATCGATGAGTATCGTGAAATTTCTGCTGCACTTAGAAGTAGAGAATCTCTAATTGTTTTTGTTGAGTTACATGAGAAACTTGTGGACTTTGAAATCATTCATCATCGTGTAGATCAAACAGCTGCTGATATTGTTTCCACTACTAATGTTGTCACAAGAAATAAAGGGTATCAATACAGGACCAACAACAATCACGACTCCTCCCCTACTCAACGAAATGGTGAAAGCAAAATTATATGTTAGTTTTGTGACAAGCCAGAACATGTTTCGAAGAATTTCTACTAAATTAAGGGCTTTCCGAAAAGGAATGACACTAAACCGAATGAAAACTTGGCTCAGAATCAGACTGCAACACATCGTCCCAGCTGGATAATGGATATTGGAGCATCTCATTATATTTCATAAGATCAAAAACAACTTACATTAGATAATTCATATCCTGGAGTAGATCAGGTCATTGTCGGTGATGAAGCAGGTTTGAAAATTACTCATACTGATAACTCTATCATTCACACCCCTGTTAAACCCCTTTATCTCAAACAAGTCTTGTGTGTTCCTAAAATCCAGTCCAACTTATTATCTGTTTCAAAACTATGTCAATCTAATACTTGTTATATTGAATTTTTTTCAAACCATTTTATTGTCAAGGACTTGAATTCGGGTCAAGCATTACTCTAATGTCCACTTAAACAAGATCTATATCATCTACCCACGACTATCATTCCATAACGTCCACCTCAAGCATTGCATACAAGCATCCATTCTGCATCTACATGACATCATAAGTTAGGCCATCCTTTTTTCAAAATAATAAAGCATTTGATTGACAGTCATCATCTACCAATAAAGCTTCCAACATCTCGTGAGTGTAGTTCATGTAATTGTGCCAAAAGTCACAAACTTCCTTTCTCAAATCATCATCTCACAAGTAGAAAGCCATTGGAAATTTTATACTCTTATGTTTGGGGAAAGCTCCTGTTAGATATTTTGATGGTTATTTGTACTATTTAATCATTGTAGATCATTTTCCAAATATGTTTGGTTGTATCCAATGAAACATAAATTTGATGTGTTTACCATCTTTGTTAAATTTAAGTCCATTGTTGAAAAAAAGTTTAACTTTCCTATTTTCTCTCTCTTCTCTGATAATGGTGGAGAATTTATAAAATTAAATTCTTTTCTGGCTAACAATGGTATTTCTAATTTAAGCACACTACCACACACACGAGGTAAATGGTACGACTGAAAGGAGGCACAAACATGTTGTTGAAACATGTCATGCTCTCTTGCATCATGCCAATCTACCACCTCAATTATGGTCATTTTCATTTACTACTGCAGTTTATCTCATTAACAAAATGCCAAAACCAATCATTGAGATGAAATCTCCTTTTGATGTCTTATTTCATATAAAACTGAA